GTGGAATCTAAATCCCATTGTTATGGTTTCTTTTAAAGCAGAATTCACTGCTTGAATGTTGTGGTGATGTGCGCAAAATGGAACGGGTGATTCCATTTCCCAGAGAGTAGGACTTTTGTGAAGTGCACTAATAACCTGCCTTTTCATCAATCCCCAGTCCATACATTTTAACAGTCCCATATTTAACCCTACTGCCCTTTTTGGTGTCACTGTGTTATTATGAGGGAAAGCATCTCCCATATAATACAGGAGCTTTGACTATCATTTGAATAAAAGCTGAAGAGCAAGGTGTTTTTCCTGAGTTCCTCTTCTTCGGAATATTGTGACTCGGGTGGTGTTTGAGCATTTGACCTCAGCCACTTTTTGTGTGTTGCATTAACGGAGGCTTTTGTTAACAGTGTTGGTACAACTTGATGTATGGCAGTGGGAACCCATGAGAGGCTCAGCCAGCCATTTGTAATACCTGAACTTTGAAGGAGGGTTTGCAGTTATTCATTTCTGTAGACAAACAGTGTCCAGGAACAAGATCTCAGAGGCCTCAAAAATGTGTAGTGTAGTGTGTTATACAGAATTATGTCACTAGATCAGTTCTTCGTCCATGTATCAGTCCACAACTATATACTGTGCTGTATAACTCTTGCATTATGTAAAACAATTATTAGGACATTTCCTCCCCTCCACCCCATGCACCCCCAGCCATGGTTGGAAAGATAAAGAGTTGCTATGATGCATAATGTGGTTAGTGGTGATAATTGCCCTAGATTGAGTTTCCACATGTACTATTTTGGAAGGCTTTGGTGTGCAAAGGAGTTTGGGGTTTGAGAAGTGAAAGCAGAACGTGGGGAAGAGGAGCTAAAGAATACACACTTACTGTTTCCCATCTGATGCAGAGTGCCTCTCTCTAGCTTCCTCACCTAGGATGTGTACTCTGATCACCAGGTTGAATCTCATTTTGGGGCCAGAGAAGTACTGTTATACTGGTGGAGTTTAATATTTTTTTTTCACTTACATGCCACATTTCTCCCCGAAAGGGAGATGCAAGGATGAGACCCAACCTACAGAGATAGAAATCTTCTGAAGTGCAATTGCTTGTGCACCTCCCAATTGATCAGATCATCAGAAGCTTGCATTGCAGGGAGGCATCCTCTGCAACTTAAAAAAGCACCATTGGTAAGGTCGGAAAGTGTCCAAAGTCAGCATCAGTGCTGTTAAAATAGTTGTATCCTTTGCTGACTTTCAAGTAGTTTTCACCTTGCCCAATGATTGCCTTCTCCCCTCCCCTCCTCTTTTCTTTCTGCTGCTTGTTGGAAAGGGGACTTGATCACTGAGTTGACAAATCAATTTTCTGTCTGATCCTTGGTGACTGGAAAGGGCCCTCTGGCATCTTTTCTCTGCCTTTCCCCACCCCCAACTTCATGTCACATTTTTCAGGGTTATGGAGAAGCTGCTGCCTCAATGCCTTTTCTTCCTAATCCAGATGACAACCCTGTTGGAACTGACATTGCTTTTCTGTTGCAATGAATGTCCTTCTTGGAATATGAAGGCAACTGGCAGCACCTCTTCCTCTGCTCTGCTGCCTTTCTAAATAAGGATTGCGAGTCTGGATTGCCCTGCCCTGCCTTATTCTGCATCTCTCCTGGAAAACACAGATCTGTTTGCTTTACAGTGCAATTAATCTACTGTTTTTTGTAATTAGTTTCTTCATTAGTTCTGATGACAGCTTTGTTCTATGCTTTGCACCAAGCGGGTTCAGTTTCACATTCAAAATAAATTGATAAGCCAGTTGCTTATTATGAGCCCTATATTTGAGTTTGGAATTCTTATTCTGCATCTCTCCTAGAAAACACAGATCTGTTTGCTTTACAGTGCAATTAATCTACTGTTTTTTGTAATTAGTTTCTTCATTAGTTCTGATGACAGCTTTGTTCTATGCTTTGCACCAAGCGGGTTCAGTTTCACATTCAAAATAAATTGATAAGCCAGTTGCTTATTATGAGCCCTATATTTGAGTTTGGAATTTCTGTTGTGCTAAAAAAATATAACAATTTAAATGAGTCAAGAAAATATTTACCGGCCCAGTGTTTTGCAGGCTGTGTACCCTTTCTACAAATAAATATCTTGGTGTAGTTATAGGAGTGTAATAGTATATATTAAAAACTGAGGAAAAAGCTGAGCCCGTTGTAAACACGATGGAGTGCTGTGCTATAAGATAATAACCTCCACACAGAAAAACTAGCATGTCATGATTGTTTTCAACATTTTTAAATGTCCATCAGTATGAGTATTTTTAGTATATTCACTGATTGTGAATTCAGTAGATATAAATATTTGTATCTTCCACTTGGGATGAAGGGATGAGCTGGGGTTTAATATGGTAGTTTCTAAATTTACCATAAAGCTGGATCACTTTCCCTAGTACTCTGGGAGTTGAGAGCAGTGTTGTTGGTTAAAGTCCAGATGGCAGGAGTGGGGGGGAGACAGGTAATGAATGCAGTCAGAATCTTTTGTCTCACCTCTGTTGTGATGATGACAATAAAAAGATCTTCTCTGACTCCATTTGCGTTTTCAGTGTTGTCAACTGGAACTTCTGGGGAGGGAATGGTAAAGGCCCTGGGAAGCAACAGATTTCATAGCAGGGCTTCAAAAGCATTTTGTGACTTTTGCTGAACATTGCTCATTGTATCTGTGCTGGTTCAGATGCTGCTGTTTCAACAGTCAGTTTGCACAGCCAGAGGGTGTGGGTAATCTTTCTGGAGCACTGAGGTCTTTCATGGGCTTTCAGGACACTTGACTGGACTGCTGTGTGAAATCAGCTAAGGATGAGCTAGTCAGAGATTTGGATTTCAGTGGTAATAAATGACTGATTGAGGAGTGGGGTAGATTCTGTTACCTTGGAGGAAGCATTCATGAGGCCTCTCCTGAGGAAAGTTGGTTTAAATTCAATAATGTTTGAAAATGGGGTTATAAGTCCTTAAAGCTTTTGACTTTGTTCAGTAAACGAGATAATATGAGAGTTTTTCTGCAAGTTGTTAGAGGTGTTTTTTTTGACAATCTTAGAAGAATTTTGTACCTTTCCAACACTGATTTTTGTCAATTTTTGGAAAATTTGCATTATTGAAAAATACGTTTTAAGTGTTCCCTTCCAGTAAACGTAGTAATATTGGGAGGCTACGTTTTGCCTTTTTAAATAATCAGCTTGCCCTTTTGTGCTTGTTCTGTGCATATGCTAAGTGGAAATAAACTAGTTTTCTACTGCTGCATTTTCGACAAAATGCAGAAAACACACAAAACGGGCATCACTTATTTCCATGCTGAAACTTTCACAGGAGTTGGAGAAATCCTGACATACTATCTCACCTTGTTGAGATGGCCTGTTTCATCAGGAAATAAAAAGCTGGCATGAATTCTCTAATTGATAATTGTCAACCTTTTTCGAATTTGTTATTTTTGGACAAGACACTGGAGATTCTGATAACTCTAGATAGGTAGGTGCATGCCACTGGTTTTTTAGGTCCATACTGATCTGTGTTCATGTTCAAAGCTATAAGTAGAATAGCTTTGCTCATCCATAATGGGAACAACGTGATCCTATTGGTGGGCCTCTTGGCACCTTTCAATGTTATCAACAGTGGTAACCTTTTTAGCTGGTTTATCTGATTTACACGTAGAGGATGTTGTAGTATAGTCATTTCAGAAGGTGATACTGGGAGATTTTTGCACAGTCCTATGGCTGTTGGTCTAGAAGATGTGGCCAGACTTGTGTCCCATGTTTTTCTATATCTGAATTTCAGTTGGTAATGAAAGTTATTGGGAGGTTTGGGCTGAAATGCCATTATTATATGAATAGCAATCAGCTTTCTCTCACCTTTCCACTTCATGAAAATTATGTAAGGAGCCTATAGAACCATTGAACCAGTGTCTGCAGTGGGATTGATGTGGGGAGGGGTTGAGAAAGAGATACAGTGGGTGGTAAAATTAACAGTTTGGAATAGAAAAATATATTTTATGTTATATGGGGTGCACTTTTTCCGAGGGACCAATAAACAGTTTCAAATGCTGCTGGATTTGGTGTTAACTGAGGGATGCTCAGGTGGCGGTAGCAGCCAGGAGTGCTTTACAGCTTAGAGTGGTAGGACAGCTGTGAACCTGTATGGAAGGGCGGATCCTGCATTGGTGACTTCTGTGCAGGACTCTACACAGTATGGTCTGTGTATGTATTCTTAAAAGAGCTTCCAGAAGTTAAGCAGATGTCATTTCCAGCTTTTCCATCTGTTTCTAGCCAAGGTTCATCACTATTTTGGTGTACTTATAAGCTATGTGAATGCTAAACATCACTGTGTGTAGTGGCTGGAGGGATGAACGTGTGTGCAGCTATTTATATGGAATCAGCTCACTGGTTCATATAACTGACAACAGTTCTTCAAAGTCCCAGACAGAGCAGAACGTTTTTCCAACCCTCCCATTAAAGACGGAACTATGGGCCTGGGGGGGGATGGACTTCGGATCTGGACTGGACAGATCTCAGTCCAGTTCTTACTCAACCGTGAAATGTCACAGGGTGATAATTTGACTCAGAATCTTAGGCTGCCCTTTTTTATGAGGTTGTACTAGAGATGACTGAGAGAGCACTTTGAAAACTGTAAGTTCTGTGTAAGTGATGCTTTATTTGTCTGATTATTCTAGCATTGTGTGTAGGAGAAAGGGAGAGCGACTGAGACTATGATGGGAGAAGCTGGGAACAATGGCTTTTCTAAAGTGACCCTAAGACTGACTTTCAGCTAGGAATGTACTAGTTCGTACCTTATATTCTTTATTAGTGTAGCCCTTTATGTCTGGTAGTAATTGCTGTAGCAATGAGATGGCAATTCCCATAACTGAGTTGAACTTTCCCCCCAGCATTTAGTGCAAGAAAATAGATTGCCCTTTTTGTAGATCCATTGCTTTCTATTTATGGTTGGTCTGATGGTGTGGTTTTTCTGTTTCTTTGTTTTCTTCTCCAGATCACCAGAAACTGGAACGTGAAGCTCGAATCTGCCGACTATTAAAACATCCAAATATTGGTACGTGCTGCTGAAACATGCCCTCAAAGAGACATGAAGTCTACTAGACTCCTTCCCCCCTCCCCCTCTTGTGAATGGTGAGGAAGTGCATATGTAACAAGACATTTTGTGAGCTGGAATCGGATGAATAGGGATGGAATTTAGTGTTGACAAATCTTCACAGTAAGGTTCAGCCTCTGGGATTGAGATGAGATGTTTGCATCTTTTTAAATACGCTATTTCAGAGGAAGTGTGTTTCACTATTGCCCTCCATCTTCCTTCCCATCCATCCCATTTTCAGCAGCAGCAAAAAAAAGGCTGTTACAACAGTTTGATAGTTCCTCTGGCTTAGCCCGACTCTTTTGCCATGTCCCTTTGTGATTCTGTTCTGCTTAGGGGCAAGGGTAGTGGTGGGATGCATAACATGGGCCAGATGGGAATATCTTATTGAACCAGACAAAGTGACACCTGTTCTTCATTCAGCTTCCTAGAGCAGGTGGCCAGATCACACTGAAAGCTCACAAGGAAGACATGGAAAGTCATGTGTTTTGGTTGTTGTGGGTTTTTCGGGCTCTTTGGCCGTGTTCTGAAGGTTGTTCTTCCTAACGTTTCGCCAGTCTCTGTGGCCGGCATCTTCAGAGGACAGCACTGTCCTCTGAAGT